TTTAAAGCATGTCTAAACATGGCAAGCACAAGTAACATGTATTTCAAACGTTCTTCAGACGTTTTAATCACCCTTTTAATTCAATGATGGGATTGTTAGGGTGTCCTGTGTCATGGCATCCACAATATTAGAGCAGGCCCCGGGCTGGGACAGTACTTCTAAAAGCGTCCCCCCCCCAGCCCTCCTCGGGCGCTCGCCTGGATGGCCGACGGGCCAGACGGAGCCGAAGCGGAGGATTCTGAGTTGGGGGTACAGTGCAAAGGAGGGGAGTCAATAGCAGCGGGATGCAATTACATCGACGAACGGATGGGGCCTGTAGTTACCATGGGCTGTAATCGAAGAACGATCAGAAGGTGCAATTGAATATGAAATAGGTGCTGTAGTAGAAGTTGGCTTAGGATTTGAGTGGTAGTTGTAACATTACGAGCTGTGGTTGGGCTGTACCAGGTATTGTCGTAGAATGTGTAGTCGGACTTGTACAGGCAAGGATGAGCTCAATAGGAACCGTGGTAGGAAGTGTGGTCATAATTCGGAAACTGGAGCATATACATTACCAGTGGCGGGTGGTTTTTCAATACCCGAACTCTTTGAGAGTCGGGGACGACGTCAAGGTGGTGTGGTGTATACTTGTTTCCCTGTTTTCCTGGGGAAGCAAAGAAGAATGTATACACCAGGATCCCGTATACACCAGGATCCGCTTCCTTGTGCGAGATTCAGTGTGAGGCCAGACAAAGGCGTCGGTGTATAGAGTCCGGTTCCCTAATAATAGCTGCACCAGGAGCTGATTCGGAGATGCAGAAATAATATTGAGCCATACTCGATTCTTGCTGATCCGGCTACAGTCGAATTCCAATCGAACTCCAGGTTTCCAATTGGGTTTCACGATTTCAGTGGAATCCCAATTGGATCCCCATAAAGTTCCAATCGGATTTGAATCCGAATACAAGCTGATGTGAATTGTTTCCCTAAGTTTGTCAACAAGAGTCGAGCACTCTTCTTTAATCGTTCCCCACATTGTTTTATTAATCGCCGTCTTGTATTACGGGCATGTTTCTGCCTGCGACAGGTACGATTGCAGTCTCAAGGCAATTGTTGCAGAAGCTGGAACGGTCGTTCTTTCGATCGATCCTTTGTCTGGCAGGGCGATGCTTCGGCCGAAAGGCACCAGTTTCGCACCAGACTCATGCAGTGGCAGACGGACCGAAGAAGTGCGTAAGAGCACGGTCGCCACGCACGCAGGCGCCACGCGCCCTCCCCCTGCAGATCCAGGCATCGCAGACAAAACAGACGTCGAGATTGCCATGATTTGCCAGTGTGATTGGCTTGCGCAGGCCGTGCCGCCCCCCAGAGCGATAAGCAACGCCTGGCATACCGTGAACCGTCTGTCTATCCTTGACATTCGAGGAGGACGAAACAATACGACCATGGTTTGTCTGAGATTTTGAGTTACAGTCGAGGTGTTGAGAGTTCCGACAAGTTTGTGGGTCTGGAGGGCTGTTTCTCAAACTAAGAGATCTCGAGAGGGAAGCCATGTCTCCCAAGCACGGTCAGAATCGATGGGGTCGGAGGATCGCTCGCGTCGCTGATGCATCGGCGATGCGAGGCGATCCAGAGTTAGATGTTCTCCGTCCTGCAGGTCCTGACGTCGCGAGTGCATCGGCGATGCGGTGCAATCGTCCGACCCGGTCTAAGTTGTTCCCACGCGGGAGGCCTCCACGAAGGCAGAACACAGGCAGAGCGCGGGGGCGACAGGTGACGGGTGAGGGGGGTCGACGCGTGTCTATGATGAGAGGGCATGCGTGTCTTGTGAGGCGACGGGCCAAATCGGACCCGCCGTTCTCAGAGGATGTGGTGCCACCAGTGGGTCTGCGTGCGGTGTGGCAGCAGAGGTGCAGCCATATCGGTAGCGGCTCATGTATCCAGGCGTTGGCAGCAAATCCGCCACAGGCTCTTGCCCCCCATGCTTCGTCGTCGTGACCACTCTACATCGCCTTTGTGCTCAAGGTACTCGTGGATCTCGCTGTGTGTTGGAACACAGTGCTTTTGTATTCAAGAGGCTTACGCCATAGTCCGACGATCCCCAGACATGATGTCCACGGGTGTCTCTTGGGGGGCCTTGTTGGGCCTGCTGGCAGTCTCGGGGGTATTGTGGCGGAGGGCTCGGAATGTGAGTTCGAGTTGCTTCTCTTGGTCCCCTCTTGGGGCCCCGTTGAGGCTTCCTTTGGCAACCTTGGGCGCCTTTGGGGTCGTCTTGTTTTTTGGGGGGCTGGCTTGGGGCCCTCTTGGGGGTTTCTTGGGCCGTCTTGGGGCGATCTCGGGGGCCGCTCGAGCCGTCTTGGACGCTAATACTTGAGCAGGCCGAAAGATCTTCCTATTGAGGCCCACCTGACAAATGCGAAGTGTCGTACCTCCCTCCCCCTCACTCGTCCTCCTCCTCTTCCCTCCGCCCTCCTCCTCTCCCGCCTCCCTTGCACTTCCCTCATCCCTCCTCTTGCTCGCTCCTCCGCTCTCCTCCTCCCCTCCTCCTGACTCTCCGTTTGCCCTCCTCCTCTTTCTCGTCTCTTCTCTTCTTCCTCGTCGTCGTCCTCGCCCTCCTCTCCGTCCTTCCTCCCTCATCTTCCTCTTCGCCCGCCCCTGGTATGTGTTTCCCTACTCGCCCCCGTGTGTCGTGTCTCCCGGTAGGGAAACGCCTCCCCCGTAGAATTATAGCTTGGGCTGCAGGTCCAAGGCTCCATGGATCCATTTCCCCTTGGGCCCCTTGTATGAATTATAATTATAACTTCAATCCAGCAAAAAGAATTTGATCCTTAAAGCTTCCACGCCAAAACATTGGATCCACAAGACACGGAAATTGGATCCACGTGATTCTCGCACACACGTAATTGGATCCAAAATGGATCCATGCGTTCCCATGCAAGAGAACAAATCATTCGGCCTGGGGATGTATAACCAAAAACGCGAAGTTGCTCACACTTTACATTTCCCCTATGGATTTGGATGTTTCTTGCTTGTTGGAGCCCTCTCGGGGGTCGTATTGGTGCCCTCTTTGGGTGTCTTTGAGGCCTCGTGTGCAGTCTTGAGGCCAGCCTGGTCGTCTTTAGGGCTCCTTGGCTTGTCGGAGCCCAGTTTGAGTCAGCTTAGATGGTATTTTCGGCATCCTGCAAGCCACGGAGTGTAGACTTGGAGGCTCCATAGGCCCTGGGAGTGCGTTGTCGAGCTCGTCCTCCCCCCACCCCGAGGGCTCCCCCCAGGCGCCCCCTCGAGTCGGATTTCAGACCCCAGGGGAGGGGGAAAGGGAGAGGGGATCAGCCAATCATCTCGCACGCCGTTGCACCCCAGGCACCCCCGGCAAGCGGGGGCCAGCAGATTTTACATTAACACTCGCGTGCGCAAGGTACTCTGATGTCGACCAGCAGTTTCGCTCGCGGGCCTGTGGCCATATCCATCGCCATCGCCCTTGCAGCCGAGAATGGTGCTGGTCTTGGGGTCACCAGTGGCAGCACGTGGTCTTTCAGCCACTTACCTCGCACTGTGTTGACAAATTTCAAGCCAGGGGAATGTGGTAAGCAGCAGCCTGGCTACGTGACGATCGCACACGCGTCGTGGAACACTTCTTGGCACGCTAAGGTCGCGGACATTGCCGAGTGTAAGGCGATTTGCGATTCGAATCCCGTGAGGTGCGTCGGCTTCGAAGCCCATTACCCCCAGCATGGCATGATGCGATGCAAGTTGTACAAGGGCCTCATGTTCGAGAAGGACCACATTGGTTTGTCTTTCTCCAAGTGTACGAAGGCTATGCCGTGCCATGATGAAATATTCCACCGGGGCTTTCAGTTCTCCCACGCGGGCACCTGGAGGGGTGCCACGGAGATGGAGGACTTGGCGGGTTACGCAATAGGGGACTGCGCCAGCGCTTGCCGCGGCAGCAGGGCGTGCGTCGGCTTCACGTTCCGTGGCAACGGAGGGCCTCCGGGCTTCGAGCAGTGTATGCACTTTCTCAACAATGCCAACAAGCAGGGGCCCAGGCACGACCTGCGCGTCCACTCGTACTTCAAGTGCGTAGAGGGCTCCGGCCAGAACGTCGTCCAGACAGCGCTGCAGGACGCCCCGGAAGCTTCGGTTGATAACATGACCGAGAACGCGAGCGCCCCCGAGAACGCCACCGAGGTGATGTAGGGCCCCGTGTTTCTTCAGTTGTATAGGGCTTAGGCCGTATTTAGATTGGGAAGGCTTTGCGGCCAGTGTCGCCGAGTCCGAAGGGGGACGACGACCGCGACAAGGACGAGGACGAGGACGAGGACGACGACGCCGGAGTCTCCGGTTGATAACACGACCGAGAGCGCGAGCGCCGCCGAGAACGCCACCGAGGTGATGTAGGGCGGCCCCGCTCGTCCTCGGGGCTATAGTGGGTGCTGCAGCCGTCTGGGGCGTTGGCCGTGCAGGTGGCGGTGGGGCAGAGGTGCTCTGCTCGCGCGCGCCCGAGCTCCGCACCACTGGGCTGTGCGCAGACACCGGAGGGGGGGACTGGGAGGGTGGTTCGGGAGCCTTGAGACGGGGTTCAATGCAGACGGGGGTCAGCCAGAGCGCCCGATGTTGCAGGATCCTGCAGCGCCAGAGTCGCATTGACCCGGGCTTGGGTGCAGGACCCTGCAGGATCTTGCAGGATCTTTCGCATTGACCAGGGTTTGGGAGCAAGATTTTGCAGGATTTTGTAAGGCCTGATTGACCCGGGTCTGGATTGACCCGGGTCAGAAGATCCCCGAGATGGCGACCGTTTTCTGATTCATTGTTTTGCCGATCGGCGCGGGCCTTCGCACCCCTCCTCCCCTCCCCCCCTCCCCATGGAGTAGATCTTGGCCGAGCAGGTGGGGCCTTCCCCAAGGGACACACTGCTGCAGACGGTCGCACTAAGAAGAGGTCAAGAGCCGGACCGCCCACCCTCCCTCCCCCCCACGGTTGAAAGTTTTATTGTGCACTGACCTTTAACCTTAGGTGCCCGTGCGGAGTTTTCGAAGCTCGACGTTTAGTGCAGCTGCTGACTGTGCCGAATTGTCTCTGCAGGCCGCGTGCCATCATTTGCTGCTGACAGGCTGCGTGCTTCAACAGCGTCGCACTCCACCAAAATTTCCCTTCCGCCGGATGTCGAAACGCCGAGTGAGGAAACGCTCACGTGTTGGAAGGGACGGCCACGGCGGTCACCACCCACCAAACCACCCCAACCCAACCCGAAGGCCTCAATTTGTCTTCCAATTCCAGTGGGGGGGGGTCGGGGAACCTTGACAAAACACATGGAACCCGTACCCCCCCCCAACCCGACATTCGGGCGACAACTTGGGTCTTCGGGTCGGGTTGGGGTGGTTTGGTCGGCAGTCAGGAGGGACAGTAAAAGCGTGGGGGCATCGAGGAGTGCAGGGGAGGAGGAGGAGGAGGAGGAGGGGGAGGAAAAGTGGCCCCAAAGGGAGGGCCTCCGAACTGCCGCCGCGGGCCCGAGAGGTGGTGCTCGACAGAGGTGCACGCTTCCTCGCCCCTCGCTTTTGTCGGGCGATCGCAAACATGGATAAATCGGTATCGTTGAAGCACTTCCCATCCCCATCCCCATCCCCTTCGACACCCCCACCAAATTACCGCCCCAGTTGGGGATACACCCTTCGAAACCCGAAGGGGACGACCTATATCCCCATCTAGGGGGGTAAATCGGTCAGTTGGGCCCAGGCCACGCCGCTGGGGATGGGGATCGGTTAAACGATATTCAATCAAGGGGGCGTGGATTAGCGACGGGTCCCGTTTTCATGGGAAACCGCGGATTTCGGTCGCCGAACGAGGCGGCACCGGCCGCATTCTTGGGTGGGCGCCTCCCCCGATCCATGGATCTGGCGACCGCGCGCCAAATCCATGGATCGCTAAACCATGTTTGCGCGTCCCCGATCTTGCTCCCCATGTTGACGAACTTCCGAGGGTGGGGATGAGCACCCCTCGGGGTTGACAGAAGGGGGGGCGATAGATAGGAGGGGTGCGAGATTTGCTGCATGCAGCTGGCTTTGGCGCCCTCGGACTGCAGGTTCGAACACGTATCCAAATCCAGCAAATCACAGTCTTCTGCAGTGGAAGATGGGTGGTGTTTTTTTAACAGCCTCTGCGGGGTGGTTTTGCGGCTTCGATTACGCAAGCCGAGGGTCAGTTGCAATGGGGGGCGTGTGGCTCCGGGTGTGAGGATGTGTAGTACTGTTTTTGGCGATCGTGGCTTCGGGGACGCGAACGCGATGTGATTTACCTCGGGGGCGCAAGACTGCTGTATTTTGGCGTGTCCCAGGGTTCCCATCACTTTTGTCCACGGCTGAGGTTATCGGGTCTTTTTTCGGGCTTCCCTCCTCGCGAGGATGTCAACACTATTGTGTTGCAACCGGAAAGCAGAAAGTCCGCAATTTTGACCTTATGATTTGGATCTCTTGCAGGGAACACGGAGTCCGAGTCCTCGCAGCGCGATGCCCGCCGAAGGGCCCAAGGGGTCTGGCGGATTTGGCCCCTCTTAGGGCTGTCGTTGACATGTGGAAGATTGTTCTGTGATACCGCGGCTGGAAGCCTCTCTCCCCCGAGTTTCTGGCTTCTTGCCAGGGAATCACCAGCACTCGCTCCCGCCTTTGACCCATCCGATCTCCAGGCTCTAGACACCCGCTGTGGCAGTGTTGCGCCGCCTTTTGTGCTCGAGGTACTCGCGAATTTCACTGCGCGCTGGATCGCAGTGCTCTTGGCACTTTACACTCACACTCGCGTGCGCACGGTGCTCTGGATGTCGCTCGGCAGTTTCCTTCGCGGGGCTGCCGTCGCCTTCGCCCTCGTGGTCGAGAACGGCGCAGGCCTCGAGGTCGCCAGTGGCAGCACGTGGTCGTTCAGCCACTTGCCTCGCACTGTGCTGACGAATTTCAAGCCAGGGGAATGCGGTAAGCAGCAGCCTGGCTACGTGACGATCGCACACGCGTCGTGGAACACGTCTTGGCACACGAAGGTCGCAGACATCGCCGAGTGCAAGGCGATTTGCGATTCGAATCCCGTGAGGTGCGTCGGCTTTGAAGCCCACTATCCCCAGCATGGCATGATGCGATGCAAGTTGTACAAGGGCCTCATGTCCGAGAAGGACCACATTGGTTTGTCCTTCTCCAAGTGCACGAAGGCTATGCCGTGCCATGACGAAATATTCCACCGGGGCTTTCAGTTCTCCCACGCGGGCACCTGGAGGGGTGCCACGGAGATGGAGGACTTGGCGGGTTACGCAATAGGGGACTGCGCCAGCGCTTGCCGCGGCAGCAGGGCGTGCGTCGGCTTCACGTTCCGTGGCAACGGAGGGCCTCCGGGCTTCGAGCAGTGCATGCACTTCCTGAACAATGCCAACAAGCAGGGGCCCAGGCACGACCTGCGCGCTCACTCGTACTTCAAGTGCGTAGAGGGCTCCGGCCAGAACGTCGTGCAGGCGGCGCTGCAAGACGCCCCGGAGGCCGCGGCTGATAACATGACCGAGAACGCGAGCGCCCCCGAGAACGCCACCGAGGTGATGTAGGGCCCCGTCTTTCTTCAGTTGTTTAGGGCTTAGGCCGTATTTAGATTGGGAAGGCTTTGCGGTCGGTGCCGCCGAGTCTGAGGAGACGACGACCACGACGAGGACGACGACAACGACGACGACGACGAGTCAAACAGAACAGCGCCTTCCACACGCCGACAGGGTCGGCGGTTTCCAGTTGAGCTCGCTCAGCGTGGCGCTCTGGCAAAACGCACCCTTGAAAAGCTTACAGGGGGTCATGGGACGCCCCACTGTCGACATGCTTGTAGGTCCAACTGTTCCACGTGGAGGGCCGAAACTGCAAGGAAAGTGGAGCCCAAAAGGAGTCGCGCGGTCGGCTAGACACATCTGGGGGCAAGCACACCTGCTGCCACGCAGGAAGCGGGCGAGCGAAATGATCAAGAGGATGTGATCGTTTTGTTATTCCTTGCTTTGCAGATCGGCGCGGGCCTTCGCACCCCTCCCCCATCCCCCCCCCCACGGCGTAGATCTTGGCTGTTTGGGACCTGTGTTTTGAGCAGGGGGAGTCCCCCCCAGAGGACGCACGCGCTTGCAAACAGCCGCGCTAGGCAGAGGTCCGGAGCCAGACCCCCCCCTCCCCCCCCCCTTCCGCCAGTTGTCGAAACGAATGAGCATACGCTCACAATGGGGCAGGCACCCTTTTTGCTTTGCACCCCACCCTCCGCGGGGAAAGTAGGTGGCTACACGCAGGAGCGATCCTTCGCCAGAGGGACCTGTGGAGCCGGCCCGCGAGGCCCCCGATCGCTGACGCTGAGCGCGACCGCATAGCAGTGGCTTGCGCGTCTGGATTTGAAGCGAAGATGCTATGGTCAGCGTTGTTTTATTCATTGCTTTGCCGATCGGCGCGGGCCCCCAACCCCCCCCCCTCCCCCCCCCCCACGGAGTGGGTCTTGGCTGTTTCATGCCGCCTGTTTCGAGCAGGTGGAGTCTCCCCCAGAGGGCGCACGGTTGCAAACAGCCGCACGAAGCAGAGGTCCGGAGCCAGACCCCCCCCTTCCCCCCCTTTCCGCCCCTTGTCGAAACGCCGAATGAGAAAGCGCTCACAATGGGGCCGACACCCTTTTTGCTGAGCACCCTGCACCCTGCGGGGGAAAGTAAGTCGGCGGCTTCACGCAGGAGGGATCCTTCGCCAGGGGGACCTGTGGTCCAGGCCCGCCGGGCCCCCGATCGCTGAGCGCGACCACATAGCAGCGGCTTGCGCGTCTGGGTGTGAAGCGAAGATGGAGCTGACATACCTGGTATGCTCAGCATCGGCGCCGGTACATCCGTGGTTGAACATCCGCCTCCTCTGGCAGAATCCCAGCCAGTTCGGCCGAATCGTGTTACGACCCTGGCCCAATCTGGCTGAATGGCGCCCAGCTTTCCTCCTCCGTCTCCTCCTCTGCCTCCTCCTCCCTCCTCCTCCTCCTCCTCCTCCTCCTCCTCCTCCTCCTCCTCCTCCTCCCCCTCCTCCTCCTCCCCCTCCTCGTCCTCCCTCCTCCTCCACTCCTCCTCCTCCCCCTCCTCCTCCTCCTCCTCCTCCTTTTTCTCCTCCTCCTCCTCCTCTTCCTCCTCCTCCTCCTCCGCCCCCTCCTCCTGGTAGCCCTGCATCCTTCTCACGAAGACCTCGCAGGATGTGCTTCCTGACCGGCGAGGCCCCCCGAGAGGCCCCCGAGGCGCCTCCGCCCGTGCGGCGTTCGGTCCTGCCCCCCCCGTGGCGCGAGGAGGCCGAGCGGCCGGCCCCCTTCGGCGGACCGCGAGCGGCTCGGTCGGCCGAGCTCTGCCGGGGCACTGGCGGAAGTGGCCCGGCGGTGCTTACAGTCAGTGTCTCGGAAGCTGGAACGTATACGGTCGGTTTGCGTCGTGTCGACCAGCGGCGACCCCAGCGCGGGCGTTCAAGGTTGAACGCCGCCGGCGACCCAGAATCGATCGATGTTGAACGATCGGACGTTGCGGCAGCGGCCGATCGTTCAAGGTTGAACGATCCCCGCGGTGTCAGAAACCAACGCCGGGGTCGACACGACGCGAACCTGCCGTACGCTACGTTGCATCTTCGGGGGACCTGGCCTGTCCCCAAAGTTTGCGTCTTTTCTTGTACCCGACACGGGCTCGATGTTCGGACTCGGCGCGGACGTGGCGCGGATTCGGCGCGGATTCGACACGGGTTCGATACGGATCCGACGAGTCCGACGTGGATTCGACACGGATTCGACGCGGATAGGGCCGCGACGGGACAGACAAGGTCCCCCGAGGATGCAACATAATATACACTACCAGTGGCGGGCTGATTTTCAATCCCACGACTTCTGAGGGTTGGGGAGACGGCGTCGGGGTGGTGTGGTGTATACTTGTTGTCCCCGTTTTGTCCCAGGGAAGCAGTGAAACGTGTATACACAGGGTTCCGTATACAGTATACACCAGGATCCGCTGCCCTGGCTGCAGATTTTCTTGCAGGGCGGGAAAAAGCGTCGGTGTATAGAGTCCGGTTCCCTAGTATCGTTTGACCGATCCCCACCAAATTGCCACCCCAGTTGGGAATGCGCCCCTCGAAACCCAAAGGGACCGACCTGGATCCCCATCTAGGGGGGCAAATCGGCCAGTGGGGCCCAGGCCACGCCGCCGGGGACTGGCATCGGTGAAACGATGCTCTTGCAGAGCGCGAGTCCAGACTATCTGAATGTCGCACCCACGCAGCAACGAGGGGAGGGTGAGTGGGACTCGTCGCGAAGCGAGTCGCAGCGAGACCACGAGCCGATGCCGCGACCGATACCGCTACCCCTGTTTCGTTTTCGCAGCTCTGGGCCCCCCCCCCATGGGAGGCCCTCGTCGCCTCGGCCGGACTCGTCGCGAACTCGTGGTCAGAGCGCACCCCAGGAGAGGTCCGGGCAGTGGCGGAGTCAGTACAGTCAACCCGCACAGCAAGGATGGGCAACCTTCCCAAGGGTACCCCAGATTTCGTAATAAAGGGAGGGGGGTTCTCATTTCGGGGGGGGTCTCTTCCAGGCCATCTTGGAGGGCCTGGGTTGTCTGGGGACGATGTTTTGGAGGGTTCTCCCACGGGGGGGGGTCTGAAATGGCTTGTCTTGGAGGGTCCAGACCCCCTCCCTTTTATTACGAAATCTGGGGTACCCTTGCATCCTTGCCTCCTCGGCCCATCCTTGGCCACTTTCGTCGACCGCGCCCCGCTCGGACAACCTCGAGAAATGGGCGTCCAGGGCCCCTGCATCCTTATATCGCGCATCCTTGCTGCACGGGTCGCTTGTACCTCTCGTGGGCTCCCGACCGGGCAGCAAGGTGTGGGGTTAGCCGTGATCAGCAGCGGTGATCGGGGAGGCGTGGCGACGCCAGTCCCCGAGTTTGCCGGGCGTCCGACCGAGCACAGAGATCCTGGCCCAGCTCGGGGTTCGGTCCGAAGACGACGCTTCGGATGCAGCTGCTGGGAGGTCAAGTTCTGATTTCGCCCTGGTCCGAAATCCAGTTTCATCTGGCTGATTCCCGCTTGATCCGGCTTGATCCCGCTTCATTTGGCTTCCTCCCGCTTCATCCGAGGCCCTTTCCGGCGTAAGAGCCCCCCAACGGGGCTTAATCGTCCTCAATCATTCCGAGGGAGACCTCCCAGTAGTTGCCTCCTAACGACGCCAGACAGGGGGGGGGGGGGCCTCCATGCCCGAGCGTGTGGGGTCTTCGGCTGGGGACCGAAATGTTTGCCCCAGCGGCTGTGTTAGAGCCCCCGTCCTCGTCGTGCCGTCGTCAGCTGTCCCTTCCCTCCTGCTCCATCCCTAGCCCGCACAGGGGAGGATGCCCCACTCTAGACGGCGGAAGCGGCGGACAAAGAGACGAAGAGGGGAAGAGGGGGAGGAAGAGTTCCAAAGTAAATCGGGGATGCACCAACGATGTCGCAAGACGCCTTCCTCACGCCTCAAATGCAAGTGTATTGTCTATAATGGGAGGCGGATTTCTGAAGAACAAGCGCCTCACGGGACCGCCATTCAGGCGAACTCCCCGCTTCGAATGAAAGACATAATAGCCTCCATCCTTCGGCAGGGTCAAGCAGTTCAGGGAAGTGTCCAGCAAGATCCTTTCAACACATACGCCCTCCATCACTTCAGCGAGTGCTCTCGTTCGACACGTCTTACAATGAAAGCTGATTAGTGATTACGCGATGGTCACAGGCTGAAGTGGAGCTGACTTTTAATTGTTTCGATGTTGTACATGTGGTAGTTGGGGGAGACACATGCGAGCTGTCTACTGTATCAAGGAACTGCTTCCAACCCCGCAGCAGTAGATACGTCAAGACCAGTCATCGCGGCGCCAGGGAGCTGCCACTACCGGCGTGAGAGATGGACATGTTTAGACGAATGTGCATGTTGTTGGTGCGAGAGCCACATCTAGAACAGGACCCGCCCAAAGCTGCTGCAACTTGTGAGACAAGCACGTGGCGCACAGGCGAGCGACACATCTTGTTGAAAGCAGTTCGATGTCTGTCCCTGCAACTTTGGCACAACAGATCAGACGAATGTGCACGGCACTCAGGCGAGAGCCGCATTCTGTAAATTATGTGCTTGCATCAGTGCAACGGTTCATTATGTCAAGTTTCAGGGCCATAGGATGTGAGGAATTCCTTGGCGAAAGTCCCAGCCCGCTCTGCCGTTGCGTCTTTTGGTGCGACGGGGCGTAGCTTCTCGGCAGGGAGCGGGGTGGACGACTGCGGGTGGGGAGGGCTGGAGGAACTGGGAAGACGTGGCGAGAGGGGAGGGAAGCGCACAGAGGAGAGGACGGAGGACGGCGACTTCGACGACGAGGCTGCGGCCGCCCCTTCCCCCCGCCCTGCGTGGGTGCGCGCGCGTCGAGGCGGCAAGGGCAAGGTGGCGGGCCGCGGAGGCAGCCGAGAGGCGCGCGCGCGCCACCGCCGCCCCCCCCCCCCCCCCCCGCAGCGCGGCACCCTCGCGCTCTCGCGCCGCCACCGTCGCCGTGGTCGTCGTCGCCGCTGTCCTGTGCTCCTACACAACCTGCCTCTGTCTATGATCGGGGGAGCGTAAGACCCGGGTTTGCCAGGACTCGGGTTCGCCATCGTTTTTTGACAACCGCGCCTCGGATTTTGACGCAACCGGCGTTTTTTGTTGCTTGGTTCTGCCCCTGGGGGCCCTGGCCAGACCTCAGGACCGTCAAAAACGACCCAAGGTGAAAATCTGGAGGTAAGAAGGGGCGTGGTGTAAAGGGGTGTGGTGCTGAACTTAGCGATGTTCTCGATCGGCGATCACATCGCCGTTTCCACGATTGGTACCACGCTGCTTTGTACTGCACCCCTTTCCGACCTC